ACTCATTGATGGAATTATGATGAGGTAAAAAGCCTAGGTAGGCTAGGCTTTTGGTTATGATGGGATAAGTCTACCACGGATAGGCTTTTGGATGGGTGATGGGATAGGTTTTTATCTTGTTTGAAAAGTCAACCATATGGAAGATAGGTTTTGACCTATGCCACGAAGAGGGCAATGTTTGGGCCTAAAATATTATTTTGGGCTGAGCTTGGGGTTATTCTCGGCCCAATGTCATTTATCTAGAATTTTCTTGTGGGCCGTCCAGTTAAGGCCGGCTGAATCCTGTTGCGAAGAAGATTAGTTCAGATAAAAGGTAAAGTAGTCGATTCCTAGTGGAACAAAGAGTTTTGAAGTCGAAGGTGCTTGGGATAAGGAGATGAATCTAGTTTGTTATGGAGTTTGGTTCAAAGTCCTATTTAAGTTAGGACTAGCCAAAACCTAATCAGATTGGGTTGAGGAGTTCTAATCCGAGTACGATTCTATCTTGGCCATGAAGGGGTTTGCTACTATAAATAGAGGAGGGAGTGCATCGTTCAACCCGTCCAATTCAACTCACAAATTGCCCCAGCGCAAAGCTTCTTAACAACCTTTGAGATTTTATCCTTTCCCATTTTCTTCACGCCAACACATCTTTAGTTTGGATAAACAGCAATGTGAAGGCAACCAGCAACATCTTCAGTTTAGATAAACAGCACTAGAGCCGTAGAATCTACCGATCAAGGAGCACCTTTAGTTTGGATAAACAACACTACTTCGAGATCAACTGGTTATTTATCCAAGTCTAGGTCGACAAAGATTTTCGAATCCTTGTTGGTAGAGGTCATCTCATCAGCCTTTTCGGCAAAGTGAGGTGTTACAGGTTACTAGGCTTAACACGTTGAACGCCAAGTTGTTTTATAATTGGATATTCACAAGTACACTTTAGAGTTGGGCATTTTGACGGTCAAACCACATTTACCATCAAGACATACATCTCTTTCAAGTATTTGTGTCCATATAGTCTGGTGCCAGTTCGGCGTGCTTATACTCTCACGAATATAATCACCATGACCGAACCCGGCGCCGACGACTTGTGAACTTCGCAGAACTAGCAGCCTTGGTTTCAGGTTCTAGAACCCAAAGGCCGAGACGTGATCCTTCCTCGGCCACAGTCGCAAGATCAAAAAGTCAGCAGCGCGCCCAACGCCACATCAACATATTTTACTTTCCGGCTGAACTCGGCCGATGAGTTGGCACGCTCTGTACATAACCGAAGGACATAATTAGCTTATTAAGTACTCGACCTGCATATCAACGAGAGAGCAGTGGCCAATCTCGTGTTAAAATCAAGATTGCACCTTTTAGCATAGCAGTGCACCCACAGTCCTTATGGGACCGCACCGAGATATGAGCAGAGGTAGTGAGAAACAATAGTCGCTCAATAGGCTTTGTGCCTGCTTCTTGCACTTGCCTAAGAAAGCACCTCTCTGAAGTCGCTCACTCGAGAATACGCAGTCATCATCGTACTCCACGATATGGTGTTTCTCTCAGGTATTTCGTCAAACAACGCTGGGCATTCTCAACATCCCCTGTCTTCCCATACCCGTAACCCGTCAATCATTGGCGTCCACACCACCACATCCCTTTTAGGACTTTTATCAAACACAACCTTTGCAATTTATAAGTAATGGATTACGGCATAAAACTCGACCAGCGACCTAAAGAACAAGAGTCGTCACCATACCCGAATTGAACTACATGACCGTGAACTAATCGACCACTGAGCTTCAAATTTGGGCCGAGAATTGTGCACGCTTTGATCAACGACGGAAAAAGTGTAGTTACTCGGAACAAACCCATAATTCAACATGTCCAAATAGCACGAAATGGCGGGAATCGGTAAATGCGACTGACGTATCCTCTGATCATGGTGTTGTACATGAAGATGTTTTGGTGGTGATGGTGGTGCTCGAAAATTGAGCAAACGTAGTAAAAGAAGCATCTTTGGAGGTTGCTGCGGCGGATAGGAGTGGCGCAATGGCGTATGGGTTTTCGGGTAGACGACATATGAGGATGTGAGCATGGATTTGCTTGAGCTGGTTTAGGGTTTTGAATTTTTGTGAGAGGGGAAACATGGTCGTTGCTTCTAACGGTTTTCTGAATCATTTGAATTGGCGGGTAACCTTTGGGTACTCCTCAAGTGGAGTTTGGACATATGGGGGTGTATAACTTGATCAAACTGATCACGGCCTTCGGATTTGATGACTTTGTAAAGTCAAAGTTATTTCAAAAGTAATTTTATTGTGAACACAGAAAGTAATTTCAAAATTATATCACGTTTGCTTTTTTAGAAAATACAAGCAATGGTGCATGAGCGATGATGCGGGTTTTTAAACAACATACAACATGTAGAAAGTTATATTTACAACTCTGCCTAACTCAAGGAATAAGTAAAAGTTTGTTTCTTACCGAAATATACAAATTTGAATAAAACGTATCAAAGAAGTATAGAGTGGAGCAAACCTTGTAAATTCTGTAAGGTGGGCAGCTGCAATACCAATAGTGATATAATTTAATGGAATCTGGCTATAATCTAGCTTGGTTGTTCTTTGCAAATTTGTTGGAAAATGTAGTAGTTGGCTTGAAAAAAACAATCAAGAGCGTTGAACAAATCAAACCTGAATGATATCAAATCAAATCTTAATTATGTACCAATGGTCACAGGCACCATGAAGCATAAGGCTTCGTTTGGCAGCTCGGACTGTACTGACTATTTCTGTCGGACAGGATAAATAGTCACCGGATAGTACTGACTAAATTAATCGAGTGTTTGGTGCAGTATCGGATTAATGACCGTATTATTTATACTGTGTTTGGTACTGAATCGGATAAAAAAGTGGAATGTCAAATAACAAAGAAAGATAGTAAATTTCATACATCAATTTCAAAATATTTTCCAAATAAACTGACAGAAATAGTTTTAAGAAAAAAATTGTTAATAAAATAATTTAAAAAATGGAAAAATAATGATAGAATAATGCACAAAGGGCTCTGCTCTTAATTTGTCGTTCATCTTCTGCAGAAAAACCTATTTTGTTTATCTTTTGCAGACAACACGGATCAGTTATGGGTTTGTTTTCACGGCAAATCGAGGCACTGTGAAGGTGCGGCTTTCAAGCAGAAACTACGGTCCATCCACGTCGACGAGGATTGACAGAGCTTATGGTCTTGCAGTTTTCTGGGAATCGTTGAGATTCTACTCTAGATTCCGGCGAAAGGGCGGCTGCAGGTCATCAAGTTTAGGATCCTGTCAAGGAAATCGATTAATTGGATTTCCATAGTGGTGGGTCATCGCAAATTAAGCCAAGAAGCTGTATGAATTTAGCCAGGAAGCTTCATCGTCCAACCCTAATTAACTTCACATAATTTTATAGAAACAGAGAGAAGAAGAAGAAGAACGACGACGAGAACAGGAATGAGTCTTGCGAACGCAAGAGAGAGGAACGAGACGACAGAGGGACATAAAGAGTGAGAGAGCGAGAGTTTTTTCATACCCGACTAATAATCCTTAGGTTCTGGGGTGGATAAATTAGCAGGTGTGTGCCGTATAAAACATGTGGGGTCAGTACAATTAATCCGGGTGCTATTTAGTACGAAGCTGTGCCAAACACTCGGGACCGTATTATTTACCCTATCCAGTCCCTTATACGGGCTGCCAAACGAGGCCTAAAAGTTTAACCAAACAATGAAAATTCAGCTAGAAGCGTCAATGTTAAAACATTTGAAACGTATAAAAGTTTAGTGAAACAATCAAAACCCAGTTAGAAACCTCAATGGTTGAACTCACAAACTACGTAAGTTTATGTTGTATTAATTCATGCACATCATTTCACTAAAACGACTGAAAATGCTAAGAACGGTTAGACATACATAGGATTTTGATGCTAAAAGCAGTACCTGAAGTGGGTAAAAAAGTTGTGGACGGTGCGGTGGACTTGAGAGCTTCTCAATGAGATATAAGACACATCATTGTGGGCAAGAAATTGGGAATTTAGTGTTATGGTTTCAGTGTATGGAAACAATATAAATTAGAAAGAGAAGGGGGAGAGCTTGAACACATATTGGAGGAGTTTTGACGCTATCTTTTATCAAATAGATGGTGGGCACAAAAACATTCAATTTGACATGGTCAAGCTCATTTACAGTTGTTTATCCACTGAGCAAGAGATACACTATGAATGTAAATGTTATTTTTAAACTCAAATCAAAAGCGTGAAATTAACATATTTTTGAAAATTTATTTCATTAAGCTGTGTTACCCAAATGAAGGAATAAATATAGGATGACAGGAAACTGGTGCATGTTCTCTACGAAGTTTTGCTAGTTCTCTGTTTTCCTCAATTCAATTAAGAGTTTAGACCCACTAATTTATCAGTAAATAAATAAACACAGTAAAAAACCTTAAATTACCCAATTAGAATAATGACAATAATTGGACAAAACAAAAGAAACCGTACAGATTCAGCAGTTAAGTGTCTACAACCTCAAAATTTTACTGAGTTTATGCAACTAAAGGGGCAATCAAATTATTAAGTTGTAAACAAAGTATCCAATTTCACGAAAAAAAGTATCTAATAGCACATTAGATAGTAAACTTGGAATTAACCACTGGATTTTGCAAGACAGCATTTAAGATAACTGTGTAAACATGGATACAAATTATACATATACTAAAACCCAACATAAAAACACTGTTCATTAACAGTGGTTTGACCGAAATGCCCTCAGTTTCTTCTTTCGATAAGATACTGTTTTACGTTTTCTACAATAAAGAGTCTATTTTGCCCTTCCCAGACATAGGCCTTTCATCGTTTCTTTCTCTGCTTCAACCGCATCGTTTTTACTTGACCTTTCCACGTGTCAAACATCGACCCACCCTCTATCCGGTTTTCCTTTTGCTTCAGTCTTGCATGCACTCTAGCTGGATCTCTAGAATTTTCCCTTGGTTTCTATCACACATCCAATCCATCTGACTCACCATTACACCCCCACTAATTCACTCAACCCTCTCTTCACTTCTCTTCACTTCTTTCTACCCCACTCAGACTCCCCCAACTTCCAACACTGTCACTCTCTCTCATTCCTCACGAGTCACTACTCTCTGCCTCTCCCATCTGTACCCCCTTTGCAACTCTCCTTCTCCCTCTCGGTAAAATCGAGAACCACCACCGTAATCCCTGGAGCTTTTGCGCTGATTCCAGTTTTTTAATGATTTCCAAGAAACGCAGTCTACGATGCCTGATCCGGCCTGATTTGAAGAAGATTTCTCAAGCGACTGTAATTGTATGGTAAGTTGGCTTAAAGTAGTTCCAAAATTTGGGATTGTTTGGGATATTTTTAGATTTTTCTGATTCTTGAAAAAAACCATGGTTAAGAGTAAATTAATTATATTTTCATTTCATTTAATTCAGGTAACCGTCTTCAGTTTTTGGGTTTGAACGCTAGAACCAGTGATCTTTGAAGAAGGTTGGTTCTTGAATATTTTTATTTATATCCTTTTGGTTGTTTGAATGGACTTCCTGTAATCTAAATGAAGCTAAATTGAATATCTGTTTTTGTATAATGTATTTGCTTTGTTAAATTAGTTATTTTTGGTTAAAAATTTTTGTTTGGTTTTGCAGATCAAAGGGGTCAAGCGGTGGAGGAGTGGGTTAATAGTTATGTGTTCTTCTTGATAATTGTATGTGTTTATGCCCTCATGATATTGTGAGATATCATGGGATTGTTTGTGATCTGATTAAATAGATAGTATGCTTTTCAACATTATTACAGGCTTCAGTTTTTTTGGAACTCATGGATCATTAGATTTACTATATTTGTTGATGCATTGAGTAACTTATTTGATTTTAGTTTTCCTACCCCAGTGAATATGTTATTTACTGCATTCTCCGCCTTATTTTCATTTTAAAAAAGAAATTGTTTTTTTTTATGAATTAATAATAAATAAAAAACTGAGAATATAAATTTAGGAAAGAACGAGTGTAAATCTACAATCTATATTATTAATTGAATGTAAAAATTGATTAAAAATACCAAATCAATAACTCACAACTAAGAATGTGAGTAAATCTTGCTATATGTGCTATACAAATGTTGTTTTATAACAACTGTATGTAAGTCTATTCTACTCGAGATTATAACACGAAAAACTCCACAGAATAAGACTGCAGCAGCTGCAGCTCCACCATCATTTCTGAAAAATTAGGTAAAAAGTCTCTTCTCTGCAATTTCTTTTTTTTAATAATGAACCAATGAATGCACAAAAAGTTTAGCATGCTCTGATTTTTGTGTCTTGATAGCACATATTTACTAAGTCAATTACCTGCTTTGCAACAACTTCTTTCTTTCCTTCTTGATTGCCAGGTACGGATGCATGCATTATAATTATTTTTTTGTAGTTTAATTATCCTCCTTGAAATTTCTTTAAAAACATTCATTTTTCCTGCGTTTTAAAGTTGAATAGTGTAGTTTTTGGAGTGAACATAATTTCATGTACAAGTCACTTGCTTTTCAATTTTTAGTTTGTGTTCTGTTAATGTCAGATGCTTTAAGAAGCACTTCTATGTTTTTTTAAGGGAGAATTTGGACCTTGATAGAAACTTCAAACATGTTTTAAGTAAAAACATTTCTAGCAAAAGCGCTTGAAAGTTTAAGTGCTTCTTATAGAAGATCTTTCAAATGACTAATAAGCCCTTTGTTTCATTGCAATTGAAGATTTGGTTTTGGATTTTAGATCAAGCTCTCCGAGTACATTGGGAATAAGTATGTGATTCTCTTTTTTTCCGCATTTGACGTCACATTTGTTTGTCCTATAGGTAAGCATGTTTTCGTAATCAGCATTTCTGCGTTGTACATGTTTTGTGTAAATAAATAGTTTTTACATATATACGCACAAAGCTTATAACACATATAGTCCATTATTCTAACAGTTATATACAATACTGATAATCTATTTCACAGTCCCACGACAACGTGCAAGTTATCTATATATACGAATTTGATAAGCAATGTCCATTATCTAAAATTTGGGACTGGTCATAAAAAAGGGTTGTTACTTTTTATAACAGGAACGTAGAGGAACAATGGAATCAACTTTCATTTTCCAACGACTGACTCCAACTTTGTTGTTTTGTTCTCAATTTTAATCTTTTTTTTTTTTTTTTTTTTTTTTGGAGAACCTCGGCGGTACGAGGGAAATTTATTGATAAGAAAAAAGAAGATACACCTAGACAGGGGGGGACATAAACCTAACCCCTCATAGAACAAGAGAAAAGAAATGCAAAAAAGGGGGGGACATGCACCTTACCCCTCAATTTTAATCTTCTATCTACTTGAATCCGTTTTTTTTTTAAGGCTAATGAGTTCATGCAATTATCATGTTTAAATATGCTAAATCCTTTATATTTAAAATTTTGTGTGTTGAATATTAAGATAGAGAGACTTTTCTCTGAAACACTGTCTGTCCATTAACCACACATATGTTCAGTTATCTCATTGTTATCATCCATAGTTCAAACCACACATAATATAAAATTTGACATAAACTTTACATGTTTGGTTAATAATGCCTAATGTTTTCAACTGCGTAAGTCATTTTTCTAACTTTCCGTTAGTCATTTTATTGTTCTTATCTTTAGCAAGAGGATCCTGTTAGTCATTTTATTGTTCTGATCTTTAGCAAGAGGATCCTTTTAATAAATCCAACCGTCATTTGTTCACATTAACTTCTATTTTTCCAATTTCTAACAGATAAATGAAAACAGCTCCATATGAGAAGAAAGGAGGAACTGGTGCGAATTTTACTTAACACACAAATTAAACCCTCTTGTATCAATTGTAGTAAAGAATGTAAGTAGGGATCGTTCTGGACCGGGGATTAGGAGGGCTTGCTAATAACCTCTAAACTGACTTAAAAACATAAAATTAAGTTTAAAACACCAAACTAGACTCAAAAGATGCAATACAAACTAAAAAGACTCAAAACTAGTTTAAAATACTCAAAACAGCTTAAGACAATAAATTAGACTCTAAACTGACTCTAGGGATGGTTTTGGACGAAATTAGGTTCTAACTTGACTCAAGACACTTGAAAACACAAATCAAAACAGATTTTGACTAATAAAACACTTTAAAGTAAAAGGGGATTTGATTTTGACGAATTTGAAAACAAAACAAGTAAATTAAAAAAACTAATGAAATATGCACAAATTTGAGTAAATTGAATGGATGGAAGGCTAGCTAGGAGGTTCTTCTCCACACATGACATACTTGCACATAAATCAATTTTCAGTTGTTCTTTCGATCAATCATGAAACTCAACACCCCAGGTTAATTAAGTCCGCTTAAATTAACCTTCAAGTTCTCCTTAAGTTATTGAATTGGATGGGAAAGTGCATACAACAATTCAAGCATTCTTCAAAAGTTTTTTACGTGAATAGCACAATAAAGATACAATCAAAGATCATTAAGCATTATGAAAACTATAAGTATTGACGAGACATTCGTTACTATGATGAGCATGAAACTCCTGCCAAGAATTTATTTAACGCGATCGTTTATAAGCGACCTCCACTACTTGCGAATATAAGTTTGTAACTATTAGGTGAAACTCCCTTATACTCTAGCATCATATTCATGCATGCAAACTAAGTGTGCACTCTTAATAAACATACACGAATAAGTTATCAATCAAGCAGTTAAACAAATTGAATTCACAACTTATGAAATCATAACTGAAGGTAATCAAATCATATTGCAAGCATGAACATGGTTTCGAATTCCCCCCTAGCTAAGGGGGGTTTAGTTCCTCATACTTACAAAGCAAAGATAAACAAATTTAGACATTGAAAACAAAAGAAAGAAAACACCTAAAAATGCTCTAACAATCTAACTTGAATGGCAAGCACGTCCAAGGGTCCTCATTCTTCTCTTTGTTGCGGCACAAGGTGTGGTTTGTTGGATGAGTGGTAAATTATGGTGGTGGATGGATATAGGTGAGTTATGGTGAAGGGTGGAGGGGTGGATTGTGTTCTCTCTGGTTTTCTTTCCCTTTGTTATGGTGAAAGGAGGATGTATTTATAGGCTAGGGAGAGGACCACCATCTAATTAAGGTGGTAGTGATGAGTGTTGTGGTAATGAGTGGATGTAATGGGTGTGGTGGATGGATGTTTGGTAATGAGTGGATGTAATGGGTGTGGTGGATGAATGTTTGGTAATGAGTGGATGTAATGGGTGTAGTGGATGAGTGTTTGGTAATGAGTGGATGTAATGGGTGTGGTGGATGGATGTTTGGTAATGAGTGGATGTAATGGGTGTAGTGGATGAATGTTTGGTAATGAGTGGATGTAATGGGTGTAGTGGATGAGTGTTTGTAGTTGTAGGTTAACACACTTGCACACACACATGCTGATTTCTAGCCTTCTAATCTTCAAAAACGTCCATCCTCATGTCTCCATGCTTGCACTATCTAATCTTGGCTTAAAAATGCTCCAAAGTGCTCCAAATAGCACTTTGTTGCCAACTTTGTTATTTGAACCTACAAACACACGAAAATAGATTAAAGTACTAAAATAACTAGAATTAAACTAAGTACATGCCAAGAAACAAGCTCACTAAGTTGCATAAATATGCTCTTATCAGGAACAAAGTGAAGAAACAAACTCATTTGATTAAGGAAGTTCAACTCTACTAATTGTTTCTTATTTTAGATAGGGTTGTAATTGGATTTCCACACATATACAAGTAGTACGGCTTATCATGTATATTTAAAACTTAGGACATATTTTATACAGTTTTAAAACTCGTAGCATTGCGTGGGCACTCTTGCTAGTGCTTATCTAAATGGGTAAGGCATGTGTGGTTGTTTTTGTGCATTCATATGTTTATCACAAAAGATAACACAGGGCGATAAAGTATTTTGTCAAATTGGAAATTGTGAATGTAAATTTTATTGTATCACAACAGCAGCAATTTTAAGCAAAAGATTAAAGTAAAACCAAACAACAATGAGAGATTTCATATCATATGTTCACTCATCTGCAAGCTTAACCATTTTCTTTACGGTGTTATGACCGCAAAAAAGTCCAACGAAAGCAGATGGAAAACTCTCCAAACCACACAAGATGTCTTCAACCACGTGCAAATTGCTCGTGTGAAGATGATCAACGGTGGTGGAGATAAAATCAGATTACACATTCATGAGATCAGCTGCTAAAAACCCTTGGATCTTATTTCTCTTGTAAACAACGTCTAGCATATTTGGATCAGCTCGCTTTCTGGCATCTATGTACTCAAAAATCACGCCGCAGGCAGCAACCTTACCGAATGTGTTCATGTTCTCAACTGCTGCTTCCAGCATCTCAGATGTCACATTGTTAAAATATATATCAATCCCGTCCGGGAAGTACCTGAAGATCAAACACAATTTAGTATTAACCCCGTATTTCACTTCAAAACGATAGGATCAAAGAGAGGTTTACGTTTTTGAGAGTTGACTTTAAATCGGGCTCTTCCTTGTAGTTGAAGGCATCATCGAATCCGAGCTTTTCCTTGAGCAATGCCACCTATAAACCGAACATTCAGATCAATTTTCATGAACAGATTCCGATTGAACATAGCGTACTAAAAGAAAAGTTTTGTAAGGTCACCTTTTCTTTGCTTCCAGCACAGCCAATAACATAGCAACCGAAGAGTTTTGCATACTGTCCGACCAAAATTTCAATCGATCCAGAAGCTGCAGATACGAAAACTCTCTCCCCCTTTTTAGG